TTTTTTCCTTGTCATTTCAACCCTGGCAACTGGCAGATTGCTTTGAAGGGAGAATATTGAAGCTAGAAGTTCTAGCTTCAGCTACATTATCCACTTCAGCCCCTTGGGGTTGCAGGAGAGAAAACTGAGATCAACAGAAATTAAGTGACTTATTCTAGGTCACATAATTTAGCGTCCTAGCTAGACCAAAGCTGGACTGTGGTGGCACAGTTCTCCCATGAAATTTCCCCTCTTCCCCTTAAACCCCTTTAACAAAATGATCTTGAACAAATCATCTCTATAAAATGGAAATAGCTATCCTGTGGCTCACCTTCCAGAATTGTTGTGAAGTTTCCATGGGACAGGGTGTGCCATACAGATGTAAATGTGATGGTGAGGATTCTTGCCTCATTGAACTAGATTGTTATTTCCTTTCCTAGCTCTGAAATACGAAGGCAGTGTTATATTAGGTTATTTAATGAGTCTCTTGTTCTGCGCATGTTTCCAAACTGCTTGGCCCAGATCTCTATTTTATCTCTAGCTGAGCCTCGCATCTACCCTGTGGCCAGAGACAGCCTCAGAGACAGTGAGGGACTGTCCAGAGGCAGAACACCCAGACCCTGAGTCCAGTGAAGGAAACCTGTCAAATCCCGTCAGGTGACCAGCACCCACCTCCACCCCATCGTCTTCCTCAGACTTTACTTCAAAATGGTCCCTTTTGCACTTACAAACACGCATTTCCACCACCTCTGTGTGAGTTTCTCAATGAGGGCATTGCTGTTTTTGGCAGAACAATTCTTTGTTGAGAGAGACTTGCCGCACTTGTAGAAAGTTTAGCCCCCTGGTGTCCACCCACTGTTTTCTCCCCTAGTCCTTGTGATGACCCAAGACGTCCCCTAGGCAGTCACACACCCTCCCTCTGTGAGGATCACCAAGTGGTCCTCCCTGAGTGCCGAAAGGAAAGCAGTCTTATCAACCTACCACTTTTCTATTTACTTTTTAGAAGAGACCAGTTTTTTCAATCCAAATGGCTAGTACAGGGAAATGCAAGTTGAGACCTCCCTGAGATAATGCCACGCTTAAAGTGACTGCAGCGGGGAGACACAGATTTGACAAGGGGGTGCAGCACCTGGCACTGGGAATGGAAATTTGGCATAGGCTCTCAGGGCCACTAGGTGACAACATTCAGGGCCTTCTCTTGGGCTACGGACGTCCTGCTTCTAGAGGTAGACCCAAGTGTGATGAGTACCTGGCCTTCCAAAGACATGTGGGAGTGCTCCCAGAAGCATGGGTCGTGACAGCCCCACACTGGCACGTGTGAACAAATCTCGATCTCCGCACACACTGAAATGTCCCACAGCAGTAAAAGAATGAACTGCTACATGCAGCCAAGTCGGTGAATCTCACAGGTGTCATAACGAAGGACCATGTCAGACAAAGGAACATACACAACGTGATGCCTTGTATGTGAAATTCACGAACACATCTAATCAATGATGACAGCAGGCAGAACAGCAGCGACCTATGTGGGCAGAGATGTAGACTGGGAAGGGGCATGAAGGAGCCTTCTCAGGCAATAAGTGTGTTCAAAAACACCTTCTGGGTGGTGGTTGCATAGTACATGCACACACAGGCGTGTACATGGGCACTCACAATATGTGTATGTAAAATTTATCTAGCTATATACTAAAGATGGATATTCTTTTCTGTACATAAGTTCTTAAAAACTTGGCAACTTAATTTCTAATTTATGGTATTTTAGAGAATATGATAAAAATAAATTGAGGCAGTTGAGGGAGATGCGAGTTTGTCTGGAAGCTGTGAGAGCGTGTCGGGAAGAAAGGGTCAGGCTTTGGGGTTCCGGAGGCCGAAATTAGGGGAGTTGGCGTTGCCAGTGCCGGTGGTGCAAGCTGCTTAAAAGAGAGAGAGCAAGAAGATGGAGAGCTTTACACAGTTGCCCTTCCTCAAGGATTTTTCCACTCCTTCCTCTCTAGAGCTGTAGTTGTGCTTTCTTTCTTTTTTCTTTTTTTTTTTTTTGTGTCTTCATCCCTGTCCTCCATCCCCATGGATGGCATCAGGGTCAAGGCAGCAGGCCATGTCGAGGAGAGTCAAGGAGGGGACACTGACAGAGGGCACCCTCAGTGGTTGTGCACCAGGTGTTTATATGTGGGGCGCAAACCCTTCGCCTTCGCCTGGCAGCCAGTGGTGAGGCCGGGATGCTACTGAGAAAGAGGCAAGGGGAAGTCCTGGGTCCCGAGCGGTGAGCCTGGAGTGTGTGCAACCAGTGAACAGGAGTGGAGGCCCCCCAGAAAGAGGAAGGCCAACAATCACAACTTAGTGGGAACGTGAGCATAAATGGGGGAGTGGAGGTTTTGTCCTGCTTTCTTGACTACAACTGGCTCATTACCTGAACTTGAGGTTTAATTTGGGATGTACGATAGGGGCTTATTACGGGGCTTGTGTCCAGCCTTCTGGCATCTCTGGGCCACACTGGAAGAAGAAGAGTTCTCTTGGGCCACATATTAAATGCACAAACACTAACCAAAACTGATGAGCAAAAAAAAAAAAAAGGTTTTAAGTAAATTTACGATTTTGTGTTGGGCCGCACTCAGAGCCATCCTGTGCTGCACGCGGCCTGCGGGCCATGGGCTGGACACCCCTAGTACCATGTAAACCCCACCTGGACTTGGTACTCCTCCTAGTCCCGTATGGTGGGTTCCTTAAGGCCAGTGAGTCCTGGGGGAATATTTTCAACTACACGCTGTGCATACATGTGTATTACAGCACAGTACACCGTGATAACGGATATGAGGGTCGGGAGCAGGACCGTGTGCTATGCCGGGTGGAATCTAGCTGGGTCCAGGTTGGAATGCTGTGGAAGTCATACGGCAAATGTGTCAGTTTGTCATTTGAGCGTCATTGAGAATTAATCTTACCACTAAAATTAAATTAAAAACTGCATGCGTTAGATAAACTATGGCCATATAGAGTTGATACCTCTGGCTACTTAGAGTATGCAATGTAAGCAAATAATTGTTTATTGAGGGCTCGATTTGCCTTTTATGTAACAGTTCTCCTGGTAATGTTTTGCTACCCATGTGTTCAGTTTTTATTGAGAAAATTAATATTTTGGGATCCTTAATGAAAGTTTGATTAGAATTAATGATAGAAGGAAACGAATGTTATTTGAACAGGAAATACTAATAACCAAGTTTGTTAACCTTAAGCTATATAACCCAAAATACAAGTGACTACTAATTATTTATTTTTAAATTGCTGCCTTCTGTTTTTGCCTTTTAATTGATTGGCTTTGCAAATGACTCTATGGTCTTTCTTTTTAAAATCAGCACATTTTTATCACTCCTGTTTGAAATAATTTTGATTTCCCTTTGGATCGCTGCCTGAGTCCCTTCTGGCTACTCTGACAAAGCACCAGCAAGTGGGTAGCCTATCAACCACCGGTGTTTACCACTCACAGCTCTGGAGGCCTGGGAAGTTCAAGATCCAGGCACCAGCAGGATCTCCCTCTGCTGAGGGTCCTTGGCCAGTTGCAGACTCCTCCCTTGTGTCCTAGGTGGAGGGAGGGACTAGGGATTTCTGGGAGCCTGTTTTACAAGGCACTAATCCCATTTGTGAGTGTTCCACCATGAAGACGTAAGCACCTCCCAAAGGCCCTGCCTACTAATAGTATCTCCTCTTGGGGTTAGGATTTCAAGGTAGACACTTAGGTCTGAATGAATTTCAGACATTCAGGTCCTAGCAGTCAGCCTATGCAGATGACCTTAAGTCTCTATTTCCAGCTGTGGTTTCCTTTCACTCACTTCTTGAACCTTCCCCTCCTGCTGGATATTTATACTTGAATATCCCAGTGTGACCTTCACTATAAAACTAATCTCTTCATCTGCCTCTTTCCTCCTCAGTACTTTCCCCAAAACCAACCATGTCTTTTCCTCTTTTTTCGGATTAGAAGCCTCCTGGGCACCTTCGACTCCTTTTTCTTTCTCGTGTTGTATTTGGCCCATCAAACGCCATGCACTGTCAGTTATTCTTAAAAAAAAATCCTTTATTCCTCCTCTTCCTGATAATTCTCACTGTCACCAACCTGGCTTGTCACCCGTCTCATACTTGCATTACTTCTTCCGTGGTCGAACTTTTACTCTTTTCTCACCAAGCCATGTGCTGGCCAGATGGATTTCCCAGAGCCTGCCTCTGATTCTGTCTTCCCTCCTGCATAGCAACCTTTAGTGTAGCTCCCTGTTCTCAGTAAAATTGAATCGTAACCTAGCCTGGCTTTAACCAGCTCTTTTTCCAGATATATGCCTTCCTGAAACTTGTTTTCTAGCCAGTGGTTTGACACACGACTTCCTGGTCCCTCTTCCCTTCTCCAGGATCTGTTTGTGCTCCAATGTCCACCCACACAGATCGCTCACCTCTCCCTCCCCCTCCATCCCACCTTCCCCCAACTTCAACACCTGACGTCTCACCTCCACGTCAGTGCTGCAGTCTCCTCTACCTCCAGCTTCCTCTGGCAGCTCTTCCTGTCTATATAGGCAATGTCATAGTTTAACTTCAAGTTTATGGCCTTTCTTCTAATTGTGGTAACTTGAACTTCTTATCAGTTTAATTTTTTCCATAGTCGTAGGTATAACTAGGCTGTCAGTGTCTCCAGGGTGAGGCTGTCTGCCTTCCCCATGGGCTCTAGGATACCTACTGTGTGCTAACACTCAACCGTAAGCTCTGTGAAGGCTGGAACCTTTCATTGGTTGTGAGCACCGGTAAATGCCTAGTATCTAGAACAGAACTGTGTACGGAGCAGGTGCATAATAAATATTTGTCTTATAAACTGTAGATGTTCAATAATGTGTGATTTCATTGTGGTTCCTTCACAACTGCTGCATTAAAACTTGCTCGCATTTCTTATTTACCGTAACCAAGAGATCATGATGAAAAAGAAAGTTTACAGCCAGATCTGTCCAGCAGGGCTTGAGGGCTCCTTCTAAAGGAATTGTGTTTTCCTGCAGATATTAACGAATGCCAGCTGCAGGGCGTGTGCCCCAATGGTGAGTGTTTGAATACCATGGGCAGCTATAGATGTACCTGCAAAATGGGATTTGGGCCGGATCCTACCTTTACAAGTTGTGTTCGTAAGTAATGATCACTTTCTATTCCGATTTTGGATCTGAGGGGTTGGGGGTGGGAGGTTATCCAAAATGAGGTGAATACTCATCTGGTCAACTGAGTATTGCACATATGCAGGGAAACCTCATTAAAATGACAAGAGGGGGGAAGCAGGCCTGATATATTAAAATAAACCTATGTTAGGGAACCAAAATGCATTTTTATTGCACTCAGAAAAATACAATAGCTAATAGTCAAGGTAGAGAATAAACACACTGAGGAAATACTTAGATGAAAAGAAAAGAGTCAGTGAAAGTGCGCATACCTGAGAGATGAAAAGTTTTTTCCTTCTTCAGTATTTTGAGGGTTATTTAGGCTGAGTTAAACTTTGTCCCAGCTTCTGTTTTTAATTAGTCCAAATTCTGAGTCACTAGTGTCTGATTTAATGAGGTTTCACTGTACTTTCTTAGGTGGAGAGTCTGGGAAATAGTTTTGGATTTTCTATTCAGTTCTAATTTCAAGCATCCTGTTCTGTTGTCCTCAAAAACCACCAAAATGTGTCCCTGAAATTATACTGTTGTGCCTTATAAATGTTGCCTCTAAGATTTTCTCTTCATCTGGTATGGGTAAAAATCCTCTATCAAACCACGTATTCTAATATTGGACAGAAGATACAGTTTCTCTAAAGAGCCCCTGTCCCTGTAAAATCTAATCCAGTATAATCACTATAGATCACCTGATGATTAAAGATGGATGCATTTTAGGTATAAAATTTGCAAATGCAGATTTTTAAAAAAGATTTTACTCATTTTTATTTTTTGAGAGAGAGGAAAGGAGGGAGAAAGAGAGGGAAAGAAACATCAGTGTGTGGTTGCCTCTCATGTGCCCCCCTACTGGGGACCTGGCTCGCAACCCAGGAATGTGCCCTGACTGGGCATCAAACCAGTGACCCTTTGGTTTGCAGGCTGGTACTCAATCCACTGAGCCATACCAGCCAGGACTCAAATGCAGATTTTTAAAGGTACCTTTTTTTTTAAAAGGTACTTGTGCCCGTTATTACCAAATAGGTAAGCACTGCAGATTTTTCAAAGCTGTATACAACTAAGAACAATTCTGTATTAATTTCTGTCCTGCAAGGCTTTGGTATATGTTAAGCTGCATCCTCCTGGTCCCCAGTTTTAAACTTGCCATTTGGACGAGACGTGTTATTTGTGAAAATACCATTGTTTGTTTTTAGCTGTGCGTGTCTCTAACTCTGCACCCTAGGGTGAGAACATGGCCTTGATGAAGTAAAAACAAGTGCAGTGAAATAGAAACGACAGTCTCATTCATTATGTTTAGATGGGTTGGTTGAGTCTTTTGGAACATTGTTACTAATCACTACTATTTTCCTTTAAAAACTATCAAATGCAGATTAGGAAATTTTGCACGTAAGTTCTTTTTCCATGTTCTTTTGCAGATAGTTCTGGTCACGAAGCACATAGACAATTTGGCGGGTGGTGAAAATTAGACTCTAAAATTATGTTTGCATATGAGGTGCGTTTTAAAACTGGTGCAAGAATTTGGAAATGTCCAGCCAAAAATCACATTGTTGACAATGTCCAGAAAGTTTGGAGATAATTTCTGGTTGATCAGAATTACATGTGTAAATATTTTAAATAGTTTTATAATTTAAGTAGAAAGGATTCGGCAGAGTTTGGATATAAAATTTTGTTATGAATGTTTGTTTCCCCTTAAATTATTTAACTTGTCTGGTTAAAATTACTACATTGAAGGCTGCAGATTAGTAAAGATGGAGAATTGGTCCCAGAGTGTTTTATTAAACTTTGACTAGATCAGGTGTCTAGTGCTAAGGGCAGACATCCAGGTTTTAATAAGATTGTTGAAATTTGCCAATGAGATTTTTGAAACACACATTTCCTTAGCATTTATTTTCCCTGTCATTGCCCAAATAATACTGAACTTATCAAACCACCGTGCATTCTTATTTGAAAAATAAATAATTCAATTTTCTGGTTCAGCTACAACAGCTGAAATGATAAGTATTGGGAGATGTTTGTTGCTAGTTAAATGTTCCAGTTTAGAGTTTGAAGTTGAAACCTGGGCCCTGTACCAGTACTGAGTGGGCAAATTTATTTTTCTTTCCTCTGAATTTGCCACATGTAGCATTGCAGAGATATGTAAAGTTCCTTCAGGATTTGTGACTTGGTTCAATCCAGTCACTGGTGAACTATGCTTCGAAGAAATCAGTAGGGAAGTCCAAAGACAGCTGAGAAGAATCAAGAAAGAAGGTGATGTTTCCAGAGTAAGGGAAATAAAATGTTGGCGAGATGGCCGCATTCTCAGCGGTCGTGGGAAGTAGCAGGAAGAGAATGGAGCCCCACACAGACATGCACACACACACAGAGGCACCGAGCAAAGTTGCTGTTGCGTTGACGGTTGACCTATATGTTCTCGAGGGATATAAAGACAGCTGTGGGTACAGCATGCAGGCAGATTGAGGGAAATTGACCCCAGTTGTTCAGACAGCATGCTATCCAGGCAATAGAAGGTGTGGCTGACTCTCTGAACTCAAAGCGATGCACTTGGCAATGGCCGAGGAGCAGTAAGAAACTCTCCCTGTTCTTGAATGCGCTAAGGTGAACACCCTCAGAATTCCTTGACTTCAGCCAAAGGTTGCAGTCATTTCTCTTTCTCTCCTTGCCTGCTCTCTGTCCTTGACTTAGCCAAGCTAAAAGAAGGGAAGTGGGAGGGTTCTGGCATTTGCTGCCTCTCACCTCTCTGTCTGTGGCTCAGGATGCTGCAGCAGCATTCTCCAGACCTGCCCCTACCCACTTATGGGGGAAGGTGGAATTTTAGGACACATCAGAGCAAATCCAAGGAAAGCATTGGGTTGGCCAAAAAGTCTGTTATGTTTTTTTCCCATAAAATAAAAGACACATTTTTCATTTTCATCAATAACTTTATTGATTTGGATATTTTGAATATGTCGGCTATCTCCTGCTATTGGCTTCTAGTGGGTAGAGGCCAAGGGTGCTGCTAAACATCTTCCAAGACATAAGACAGCCCCACAGCAAAGAATTATTTGGCCAGAATGTCAATAGTACCAAGAAACCTCTCAAACCACTTTTTACATGTTTGATCAGTCACAGCACCTTCTCCATACACTGCACAAATCTTTTTTTACATTTCAGTTGAGCTTTTACCTTTCTTGAAATAATAAGGCATAATATGCTGAAAATGTTGATATCTTCTTCCATCTTCAATAATAAAATGGCTGAACAAAAATTCACCAATTTTGTTAAGTTTTTTTAAATGCATGTTTATGTGACAACTTTCACAATATAATCTAACAAAATTGTTTCGAATGAAGTTCAAGACAACTGAGCACTACTAGAGCCATAGTACGGGAAGAAACTAAATGAACTTTTTGGCCAACCCAATATAATAACCTTTTGTAACTGGAGTAGGAAAAGCTCCTGATTTTCTCAGTGGCAACTAATTTTCTTCTGGAATTCAAGAGCTTCAGGATGAGTGCTGCAGAGGGGGCATCTGTAGGTTTAGTAAAAAGGAGCCCAGATCAAAGAATTATAAGCCTGTAAGTTTGCTCTTTCTTAGTAGTATTCTTGAGCCATGGACTTGGTGCTAATTGATGGAAATAAAGGGTTGGGGAGAAGATGTGCCCAGGACCTTCTGCGGTAACCCTGGAAGTCATGAGATGCAGGGCAGATCCCTTCTAAAAGCCGGTCATGGTTATGTACATCATTTTAACTTAACTTCCCTAGCATCTTTATGGGATATGTATTGTTCTTATTTTACACGTTAGGAAACTGAAGCTAAGAGAATTTAAGTAACTTCTCAAGATCACATAGCTAGTAACTAACATTTGAGATTTAAAGCTGGGTTTTGTGCCTCCAAATTCAAGGTACTAGATCTAGTTAATGATGCCTATCATTCGAGTTTGAATTGATTAGAGTCTTTGAAAGTAAGGTCAGAATTTATTGTACAGCCCTATAATTAGGTGTAAATGTTTAATACACCACTGGGGAACTCAAATAAGAGAACCATAGCATCTTACCTTCTTACTGTATTTTGTAATTGAAACACCATCAGCATTAGATATATAGTGAAGATTTAAGACTTTACCTGGATACAGAGCTATAGGTTTATTACTTTTGAAGATTTCCCTCATGTCTGTAGTCAAGAGCAAAAGACTTGTTTTCCTGACATTTCCAGTAGGTTTTACACCTCTAAAATGTTTTTCCCTCTATAAAGAGTCCCCGAATCTTTTACCCTAATCTTTACCCTACTAACAACACACCCTGCAAACTCCTGTGTACCTACTTACATGTGGCTATAAGGCCCTTCATTATTGCTCCTTCGTGCTCTGTCTATACCCATTTCCAGCTATTCTGTAGAGATCTTTTGATAATACTGATTGTTTTTAAGTATAACACAAGAACTTATGACTCAGTAGAATGTATGATTAATACATTTGTTACTTTATTAATGACCTACCTTTACAACTAGCCTTCCCTCTATGGCTAAAGATATTCAACAACAGAAACACCACTCTTGTATAATCCTGGGTAGCATATTATCCCATGTTGACAAGATATGAAAACACTGCAGGTGTTTAATGAAGTAAGTGGAATTGCCAAGCAAGTCACTTGAAATCATAAAAGAATAATGGGTAATTTTAGGTTACCCATTAAAGTAGGGGCAGTTTTTAAAAAAGTGCACTCTGTTAGGAATCAGAGGCATAAATCAACACGTTTTGGTTCACATGTAAAACAAAGAAAGTTTGAATAAAAGCACCAGTAAGATTTAGGTATGTAAGCTAGACCTTTTCAATGGCCTCCTTCTTGGTTTTCTTCCATCTTTGAAGGAGCAGATTTTTCATTAGTTATTTGCTTATTCATATGTGCACTTGAAATGAGGCCATATTTTTAGAACATGGTCTGACACTCCCAGACTCTTCCCCAAAATTGACTTGTTGATAACTCTATAAACCAGTGATTCTCTTATTCCCCTAAAGATGCCCACTTGAAGTGCTTTGGAAGCTGTCATGGAAAAAATCACCCCAGCGTTTACAGAGAACACTTGGGTTAGGAAATGATGAGAACACAAAGGTCTATAAGATAGCTGTTTTAGCATAAGATGTTTAGGCAGAATTGACTTGCTAGACTTCTACCTTTATTCTTTGATGATAAAATGCCCAAAGTTGTATGGTGTGTGTGTATAATGCATGCGATATCAACATCCAGAAACTCGCTTTAATTAACAAGCAATCTCTTATAACACATGCATGCACACACATATATTAATTGCTTAAAACACTAAATTGCTGATTTGGTGTTTTGGTTTAATTTTGGAGACAAGCATGGTAGGCTACTTCAAAGTAGCATCTTTGGATAGGGAGGCAGCCAGCGTTAAGAACACAGGGATGGTGCCTAGATAGAATCACAGCCCTGGATATGCGAGAGGGGTGGACACAAGGAAGTGAGAGTGGGAAAGGAAGTGGAAGGGTCTGATGTCACCGTTTGCCAGTGCCGAGGATCTGAGGACACTCTGCTTTGTTCGGCTCTGAATGGCCCTTGTTCCTGGGACCTAGAAGGAAGAGTGATGTGATTAGTATTATAAGTAAGCCCTGCCACGTGTGAAATAGACTCTTGTGAGTTGACCTGAGATTGTTTCTTAGAAGTAGGTGTTGTGAGTTCCAAACACTTTGAAGACAAAATTTTGGAGCAAAATCATTTGTGAGCTGATTACACTAGAACTATGTATAATATGTTTTTAAGATTATACAGGTGAACTCTATGATGGTCTAACCACTATGCTGTACACCTGAAATTAATACAAAATAATACTGAATACTAAAATATTATACAGGTACAACCTGCAGACACACACAGAGTCCTACAAATATACATGCTATTCCAGACTTTTCTTTTGGGGATAATAACCATACTCCTAATTTTTTTTTTAACTTATGCTCTGTGATCTTTGATTTTTCATGACTTTAGTTGCACAGACTCCAGAAAGTGAGAAGGAGAGGGTAGGAGAAGGTAAAGGACAGACTCAGACTTCTCCCTCCTAGCCTTTATCAATAGGAAAGGTGGGCCTTGTCAGGCTTTGCAAGTTTTGAAGCCTCCTGGAAGCGTCCTCTGCTCCCCTCCGTCCCCTGCCCTCACTCCCCAGGTTACTAGTCTCAGCTATTTTGACTGCCTCTGCTCCACCGAAATTCTGCTAAGCAGTGATCAGGCTGGATACAGATGCCCTTGGGAGTGTGGAAATAGCTGCTTTTATTATCAGTAAAAGTGAAGAGTGGCTGACACATATTTGGTGTCTCCTCTGTGTCACCGGTTTAGCTTATGACATGTCTCCTCATCTGTACATTGAGCCTTTCATTTATAAGTGAGGAAGTTACTTGATGAAGTTCAGCCAGTGTACTGGTCAGGGTTTTCTCTAGAAAAGCAGAACCAACAGGTGTGTGTGTGTGTGTGTGTGTGTGTGTGTGTGTAGATTTTAAGGAATTGGCTCACATGATTATGGAAGCTGTCAGGTCAAATATCTGCAGGGTGAGCTGGCAGGCTGGACACCCAGGGAAGAGCTGATGTCGTGGCTTGAGTCTGAGAGCTGCCTGCTGGCAAAAGAAAAGCTTTTCTTCTTAAAGCCTTCAAGTGTTTGGATGAGGCCCATCCACATTTTGGAGAGTTTTTTACTCAAAGTATGCTGGTTTTAAATGTTAAACTCATGTGGAAAAAAAAACCCCAAAACAAACTTTTATAGCAGCATTTAGACCTGTCTTTGACCAAATACTTGGGTACCATTACCTAGCCAGATTACAAAGAATGTAAAATAACCATCATAATCAGTCGTAGCGACTTCCCCGAGGTTATGCTGCTGTCAGGTGGCAGCCCTGTCATGTGAACTCAGCTGTGTCTGGCTCTGAAACCCTTGATCTTTTCACTGTGCTTTGTAGCCGCTCAGTTTCAGTGGGTCATTTGTCGTAGCATCTAGCCAAGATGTCAGTCCTTCTGGAGGAATGAAAGTTTAGATCTGAGCAGGAAAGAGGGACAGGATGCAAGCTTGGTGTATGCAGCAGTTTTGACATGGCCTGGAGCTGGCTCTGCAGAATGTACTTCCTCCACATTTACCTTAGAAGGTGAACTGGAAGGCAGGGCTGGAGACTGCTTCTCCTCACAGGTGCCCTTTCTGTCCAGTAGAGTGTTTAGCTGTTAGACTGATGAAGTCTTAGCTACTAAACATAGAGTGGAAGAGTCATCAGGATTAGGGGTTAGATACTGGATGAATGTCAGCGGGTGTGCTTTCACAGTGTTGTCTGCAGGATTGAGCACTTCGCCCGTTCCTCCGCTGATGTGCTGTCTGGCTGCACCCGGGGCCACATGTAGCATTGTGTTTGCTGCCTCCCACTCACTGCTCACTGGCCTAGGGTGAAACCTCACGGGGGCCTGCCAGTTCTCACTGTCCTCAAAGCAAAAAAAGCATCAACAGCTGGCTTGCAGCATCAACTGTATTCAGTTTGTGATTTCCCATAGTGCCTGGCTGCTCGCCAAATCCTTCCCAACAACTACCTCTATTATGGCTAATTACAGGGAAACAAATGAGGTGTAGTGATGTCACTAATAGGGGACGAGGTTTATTTGAGAAGGTAGATGTCGGGTGAAATTCTTTTTTCCACTTATGTCCACCTGCCTGATTTAATGCTTTTTCTAACATAGAAAACGGGATTAGACAGCGTCCACTTGGTGCCCTAACTTACTTGGTAAACTGCCTCTAAGTGAAGAAAGGTCTTATCCTAAATGTGGACAGATGTATTATGAAGTACAGTCTCAAAGCCAGACTTTAGGGATATTTTTACTATTCCGTGAAAAGTCGATCTGGTTTTTGTTGTTTCCTGGGTGACGTCAGGCCTTGTCTCTCTGCTTCAGCGGACACCCCTGTGATCTCGGAAGAGAAGGGGCCCTGTTACCGTCTGGTCAGCCCCGGAAGGCAGTGCATGCACCCCCTGTCCGTGCACCTCACCAAGCAGCTCTGCTGTTGTAGTGTGGGCAAGGCCTGGGGCCCACACTGTGAGAAATGTCCCCTGCCAGGCACAGGTAAGGCATGCCCGGCTGCACGCGCACGTTCATGCCCGGCCACACCAGTGCACAGGACAACCTGGGCAGCCAGAGTTATTTTTTGTTTCTGACTCTGAATTTAGTTTTTAATAATACAATGTGTTTTTGTCACTTCTGTAGAAAGTGTCCATGAACATAGAATGGTGAATCAGTGGAAAAAATCAGAAAAAAATTACATGCAAAGAGATTTTCCCATTTCTATGTAACATGCAGCTTCCTTTTGAATGCTAACAAAGGCCGTTATAATATATCCTCATTTCTAGGACTCGCAGGCTGCTGTTTAAAAGTGTGGCGAGATCAAAGGCCCTGCTAGGCCATGTGGTTTCCTAATGGTTGGCCGCGTACCACTTGCAGAGTAGCTAGACCCCGCGCAGGTTGCCTCATTCTCTCATGTACGGATCCTGTGCTTGTCAGGTTCTGCTGTGAGCGTTGGAAATGGGGGGCGTTTTAGGAGCTCAAAGGCAGACTCTGCCAAAGCCCCTATGAACTTCCTGGTGGGAGCTGAATATTAAGAAGTTGATTAATCTTTATCCTTTAATTTGGTACCCAATTGCCTAATGCCCTGAAGGAGTAAATTTATATAAGTGCCTTAATTTTACCAAGGAGTCATCAACTTTCCATGCAGGGCCAAGTGGCATTAAATGGAAGGAAAGAAACATGGCCTGCAAATACTGGGCACCGTAATATTATCAAAGAAGCAGTGGCCTCAATTCCGCTGGTGTGGTATGGGCATAAAAAGTTTATTGAGTTGCTTATTTAAGAGGATGCTTCCCATCTCAGAAAGTGGGTCATCTCTCACAGGGTCATTGAAATCTTAAACTCTAACTTACTTACACTGTAGCAGACAGTGTTTAAATAGAAATTTATTTTTTAAAGATTTTATATATTTATTTTTGGAGAGAGGTGATGGGAGGGAGAGAGATAGAGAGAGAAACATTAACATGCAAGAGAAACATTGATTGGTTGCCTCTTGCACACGCTCAGTCGGGGACCTGGACCATAACCCAGGCATGTACCCTGACTGGGAATTGAACCGGTGACCTTTCTGTCTGTAGGACGAAGCCCAGCCCACTGAGCCACACCAGTCAGAGCTAAATTTAAATATTACAATCCACCTTTGGTGATGGGCAGGATTAGAAAGAATTGGTAAGGCAGAGGATAGTATAATGTTGGTGGTATTTTGGTAGACCAGATAATTTTAGACATTTCCAAAAGGCTCTGTTTTCCTCCTATAGGATCTGATCCACTCATTATTAAAAAGTAATAATCAAAGGGTAAATTATCTTATAATTCATAGACGGATTTCTCTGTAAGTTCAATTCTGGTAGCTTTGTAACCTTTACATGAAACATAAATCAAGATGGTGACTATCACACAGGGAGACTCCTCCATGTAATACAACAGCTATATTTGAAAATAATGTAACAATAGAATTTTTACACTTAACCAGGTTTTAGTTATATGGTGATTTCCATACGAATCATATTTAGTTCAGCTATTTGATAGAAAGCCATGTTTTCTTCTGGAAACATCTTTTTTTTGAGTAAGAATTGTATTTCATCGTTAAACATAAGCATCATGTTCCTCCAGTTAGAGTTGCCTTTGCATTGAGCACTAATTTTAGGTCGAGAACATTCCACAGATCTTTTTTCCAGTGGAAGGGAGAAATGACTGATTTTGCTTTCAGTTTTAAAAGTATAAAGGAAAAGTTCACCATAAGCACCTTGGTGTCCACGTGCAGTCACTTGCCTCCAACACCACGGGGATCAGGTGGATTTCTCCTCCTGGTGCTCCACACCTCCTTGCCCCGTCGCCTTCCCCTTTACTTACGTTACGGCTGGGGAGTATGCGCGATGGAGGTCAGCCATCACATGCACCCGGGCTACTTTTTGTAGGTGTACAAAACCACTTTGCTGGTTAGGAGAGCATCTGCTCTCCTGTCCTCTGGATGATTTAGCACCTGCTCACATTCAGGCTTTGCCCCCTTAGTGTTCCTTCCCTCAAATACAAGCACATTCTAATATGGCACATCCTTTTGTGATTTGACTCCTTTCCATCATCTCTTGAGCTTGTCCCAGTTCACTGGGTTCCTCCTCACTGTCCTGAGGCTCTCTCTCCAAGAGCACGCCCCCTTTGCAATCCCCCTTAGCCACCCTCTCCATGTCAGCGTAAGCCCTCCACGCTGGCTGAGGCCTTTGGGTTCTTCAGTTGGAAACAAATTACAAAAATTTCAACACCTCATTTCCCTGAATAGTGATTTCTCTTTATTTTTTTTCTTGCTCATCATCTAGCTTAGAAAGATGTCACTGAGTTTCTTGTTAATAATTAATGAAATTAAACCATAGCTGAAGGAAAGAAAGCCTGATTTTTGCTGATATTACACACATACCTCCAATAGACATATATATTATATAGTGTCCTTTGTACATAAACATCTAATATATTACATATATTTTATGTGTAATATATATTGTGATTTATATTAAATATAAAATATATATCTTATAACTCATTACTGATACATAGAATATGTTATATAAAATATGTTTTTATATATGCTATATATAAACTGGTTGTATAGGATAAGCAATTAACAGATAGAGAATTGTCTAGTAAAAGAAAGGGTTGGGGTTTTTTTTCTGTAAATATACAAGTTTAGCAGAAATTCAAGCATTTTGCATCTGTTTTTGAAGATTTTAAATGTAACTATTTGAGTGATGATTTATTAAGAGATACTCATCATGATATTTTCCTCTGTATAAGTTTGCACTTTTAGATTTTTAAAAGGAATATTTTCCCATCCCAAATCTAGCTGCTTTTAAGGAAATCTGTCCTGGTGGAATGGGTTATACGGTTTCTGGCGTTCATAGACGCAGGCCAATCCATCACCATGTAGGTAAAGGACCTGTATTTGTCAAGCCAAAGAACACTCAACCTGTTGCTAAAAGTACTCATCCTCCACCTCTCCCAGCCAAGGAAGAGCCAGTGGAGGCCCTGACTTTGTCCCGGGAGCACGGGCCAGGAGTGGCGGAGCCAGAAGGTGAGAGTCAAAATGGGTCATGGACCTAGTCATCTGTCTTGTGTGCCTTTGCTTTGGATTCCCTGTTTATACCCATCAGAAACAGGGGTTTCCAGACTTAGTACTACTGGCATTTTGGGTGGGTTATTCTTTGATGTGGGGGCTGCTTTGTGCATTGTAGGATGTTTAGCAACAGCCTGGCCTCAAACTTCTAGATGCTGGTAGCAACTTCTCCCATCCAGTTTTGCAACCAAAAAGGTATCCAAACATTTCCAAGTGTCCCCTGGGGGGCAAAATTACCCCTGAATGAGGACCACTGCTCTAGAGTAATGTGCAGGTAGCCGGTAACGGTATTCCACGGCAATCTCAGGACATGGTCTTGTGTTTGGGGTCCCTTTTTCTTGGTGTTTAGTCCTGGAGAGTGGTTTAGATCCTTAAGGAAACAGCTAGAATTCATTTCTGTGCCTGGAGGGCCATTTAATAAATATTTATTTACTTAAAAAAGTAAAATCCAAAAGTTTACGTTTACCACATGATAGGCTTCCATGAAATAAAGTGCAACAGGCAGTTGGGGTTAATGGGAGGCAAAGTGCAGGAAGATAGGGTCAACCGAATGTGTCTCAGAGATCATTTAGTGCCGTCCTTTGGTTTTCATCTTGAGAAACCTGGGACTTAGAGAGGGGACCCGACTTACCAGCTGTCACGCACTGAGTAGGTGATGGGACCAAGGACCACATTTTTCCAAGGAAGTGGTTTAGGCCTTATTGTCCAAAGGGAGTCTGGAGACAGTTGTCTTTGACTATCTCTGGCATTCAGAAAGGATTCTGTCTGTCTCTGTCTCTTTATATAAACTGGCCTAATACATTGACTAACTCTGTTACTACAAAAATTCTCACCCCCTATAGAAGGAACAAAACCTTAGGTTTGCATGAAATATACATTGGATCTAATAAGGCTCCTGTTGGCTTTTGCTACTTGATTCTTAGTTCAGAATTCAGGATGCTCTTTTATGGATTTTGTAAGGAGAGCAGATGCTCTGAGTTAGTGAAGAGTTGGGTGCTTGGCAAAGCCACCTTCCTGGTACAAGGGTCTTTATTTCAGGGCTCTGAACCCGTGTGGGCTCTAGCCTGTTTTATTCCACCCTCTCACTTACTGCCCTTCTTGCTTGGTTAGGCAAAGCAGGTAGGACCTCACCTCGAGTTGACCGAGTTGACAGGGTGACCAGTTTGCTCCTATACACTTGGAGTGTCACAGCCGGATGTTTGTAACTCCTCATCTTCTGTGTAAGCAGGAGAAAATTGGCTCTGGCCCAGGTTCTGTCTCGACTTTCTTAATGGTGGATTAGCAGGATAGAACAGTTGAGTTGTTCAACCACAAGAATATTGCAGCAGTGGTAGCAGTCTTGTACCTGATTGCTTTTGGGAGCTAATGCATTAAACAAACCTATATACTAATGTTTATGGAGACATTGACCCCATGAGGAAAATTTTGGTGCATGTTCACCTAAGGCTGAAGGATTGATTGATGAAAAGCAAGCCTTTCAAAATGCAAAGGCACAACTACTACCACCCTATAATCATGTTTATGATTGTGTAATATGTGATTCGTCCACCATATTGGTGCTAATCTCTCATTGGATCTTATTGGCTAGTGCTTTTTTTTTTTTTTCATAATTGCATTATCACATCTTCTTGAAAATGCTCCCGGGGCTTCACTAGAATTAGTGAAGAATTAGTGTGCATCAAGAAGGCAGCACCCATTCTTCATTGAAATAGTGGCATTCTTTTTTAACATTGACATCAGAAAGCATTTCAAACATTATATATTATGTTAAGGATATGTATGTGACCAATTAAAGAAAATGTTTGTTTTCTGAGATATAGGAAATTCTACAAAATTGAGATTAGACATAAAGTAATGTACCAAAAAGTGTTGCCTCCTTTAACATTTTTAATTAATAAGAGACATAGAAAGAACATCGCATGTGCTACCTGACCTTCTGTAATTGAGGAACGACGTAGCACTGATAGGTTTGCCCTGCCAGTAGTCGTGTGTAAAATTCTCTGAAGTAGTAGTGACTATAATTCTGCATTTGACTTACTTTGATTCTTAATCCTTTTGGAGAGATACTGGAATTTTATTGCATTTTTAAAATTAAAATATTATGTAGTAGATTGTTTTAAATTATACTAATGTCCTCCTTTCTTTTCTGGTTTTAGTGGCAACTGCACCCCCTGAGAAGGTAATTCATTCATTGTTTGCAAGTCACTTTTTTTCTCTAACTTTAAAATGATTTCCTTTTGGAACATGGATGGGTTTTTTTAGGCTCAAATATAGTAACATGTCTATTCATCATTTGGTTGAAGGAAATGTGGCATTCATTCCATCAAGAAATATTTAGTGAGCATGTACCATATGATCAGCAATATTCTGAATGCTAGGAAAACAATAGAGAGAAAAATCAGACAAAACTTCTTGTTCTGATGGAACTTAAATTCCAGAGAAAAGGAAGTGATGGGACTCATAGGAATCAGGAGCTTTAACAGAAATCAAGGAGTCAACTTATGTCCTTGACCATCAATGAAAGAAAGGTTCTGAAGTGTTTATGTAATTGTGTATTCTTATGGTGCATATCTGATGCACCATAAGAATACTGAGTGATGTATTTCTTAATTTAATTAAAATTTAACATGCATGTTTGTATTTGTTAAGAGTCAGAGAGCTTCTCCTTGAAAGTTATAATCAATAGTGGAGTATTGCTTCTTAGAAATTTTTACCAACCTATTAGTTTTTGGCTTTCAATGGGACTATGAATTATGAAATGTATTAGTAGGAAATACAGAAATTTTCTGGGACTAGTTTATGGAATAACATTTCTTGCCTGAATCTTGCTTTGATTCTTTACTAACATGAAAATGAAGTTTTATTTATTCAGTTGACAAGAATTCAGTAAGTATTTGATTTTAGATTGAGCGAATACATATGTAAATTATAATAGTTTAAAAAATCATTTCTTATGAATATGGGATATAATGACATAAGTGTTATATGTGCGGAAAGAATCTGGAAAAAGAGGAAGTAGAGAGATAGTATCCAACAAGGAAGAATGTTGCGTTAACCCTAAGGGAAGTACAATAGATATGCATATTTTACATGAATGTTTGCAGCTCTTGGTTAGCATCTCTAAAGTTCAGAGACGCACGGCAGTGTGAGATTTTGTTAATCTGGAATTGAGTTCTGGCTGACAGGTGGGAGGAGCCACTCAGTGGTGAGTGGGCCGGCCAGCTCCCTGACAGCCTCCCCTGGTCTCAGTTTTGTTCTTCTCTGTGTATGGTCGAGTTTATGCTGCCTTTCGTTAGGAATCTGAAAGAGGACTGGAAAATTCTCTGTATACTCTTAAAACAATTTTTTTGGAGGGGCGGCAGTGAGAAAAATGTGGCCACAGTCTCTGTGGTCTTAACTCCCTGCAGAAGGAGGCCTTGTGATACTAAAGACTGATGAAGAGAAAGTGGTCCAGGGGTGGGAAGTTATATGTGCAAAGGTGCGAAGGGACAGCAGGAGGTCAGTGAGGGGAGCATGAGACCTGTGGTTAGACAGGGAAACTTGGAATCCCAGCATGCTGTTGTCATCCTCGGGAAAGTACCCTGCTCCTCAGCTGGACCCTACCTGTCAAGTAGAGAAGTGGCATTGATGAGGGAGGCTGCTGCCCCATGCTGATGGGAGACATTCTGTCTGGAAGCTGCGGGAGTGGGTTAATGGTTTTCTTCTTGCTGGCATTGACCATGGACTGCAGGGATTGGGGTTCCATTGAGGCTGATTGAGGTCACCTTAAATACGTAATAGACAACTGGTCTGTGTTTTTAAGGAGAAGGAAAAATGTGGGGGAAATGAATGTGTTCAGTGTTTTTAAAAGATAAATCACAACAGGATGAATTGAGACAGGGAGAAAGAGGAAGCTGGAGAGGCCAATCCAATTACTAGAATAAATTGAGGAGGAGGGAGTCCAGACTTGAAGTAGTGGGGGCTATGGATATGGAAATGGATGGACAATGTAAGGAATAGAGCACATGGGCAGGGGTTGGAATGAGAAATGAAGGAGAGACGACTAGAAAGAGACTTTAAACCTGAATGGATTGATGATTGTGGCATTGAAGGAAATGAAGTTGAAATGAGATAGATATTGGAAGGGATGGATTTAATGTATTTGTGGAATAGCTAAATGGGGTTACCCTATGAGACTTCATACCTATAAAACTGGATCTTTGATGAGATACTCAGGCAGTATATCTACTTTATAAAAAGTAGGAAAGGTGGTCATGCAAACTAGGAGACAGTGAAAGGGAGATGGAGGCTAGGGGAGTGAACTTTCTGGAGCACGGCCATAATTAAAGCAAGGGGGTGTGTAAAAATTGTGCAACCACTATGCTGTACACCTGAAACAAATATAAAATAATACTGAATGTCAAACTATAGTCAAAACATAAAAAAGAAAGGGACAAGCATGAAGGAGTTGTGAAAGAGGATGAGAAGAAGTTATCGAAGCAGTAGGAGAATCTGGAGTGAGTGATGCAAAAGGAAAGACAATTTGAAGAGAAGATTTAGGTCTCTATATGTTTTTTTTTAAACCCTCCAAAGTGGTGTAAAAAGAAAGTTGACAGAAAGATGAACAGTAAATTAAAAAAGAATGTAATTATTTAAAAAATGAGAGAGAGAGAAAAGAGATGAGAGAGACAGAGACAGGGAGACAGGGAGTATGTAGGGTAACAGTGACCAAGTAGCTTGATGAATACTTTTAATGAAGTTTTGAGATGAGCGCCCTGACCCCACCCTGGTGTGGGCAAGGTCGCAGACCCTTTACAAGCCCTATTGCCTAGTCTGCATGAGCCCCAAGGAGCTGTAACTGGAAGCTGAATCATAAGTCTCTTTGCCTGTGGTCCAGGGTGCAGCAGTGGGCAGCAGGACACAGGAAGCCTGGGGCACTCCACCAAGTCCCTGTTTTTCTGTGTCTCTGCTGGGCTGCCATGACTGTGAGAGCCAGAGGTGCAAAGTTATTAGATGTGAGGTTAAGGGCAGCCGCAATAATGGACTGACATCAGATATTTTAATATGTGCATTTTGTTATGACACATCTGCTAGATTCGTGATCTGCTCTGGGGCAGAGCCGCATGTGAACGAGCTGGTGGTTAAGTTCTTCTCAGGGTCCGTTTTGGTCCAGACAGACCAAGTGTGGGCCCCTGGGCCAAGGCATCTGTTTAGAATGTCCGACAAGGCCCCTTGCCCTGGGCCCTCGGGAAGCGGGTGAGGATGTGTGCATGGGTGGGCACTGTAGGAGGAACTCGGGCTTGCCCGAGTAGTGGCCTGGCAGTAGTAGCCCGGATAGTTTAAAAACTATCACACAATTGCACAGGTTCTGTCTAATGTTCTCTGCTATTGGTTGCATTTCTAACAGTAGAATTAATTAAATAGAAATAGTTATAAGTGGAAACTAGAAGTAACTCCTACTTCCAGTTCTCTTTTTGTCTTCTATTACAACCATGCAGGAAATACCTTCACTGGATCAGGAGAGAACCAGACTTGAGCCTGGGCAACCCCAGCTCTCTCCAGGCATTTCAACTATTCATCTGCACCCACAGTTTCCAGGTAGCCTTTGCTCCTCCCTGCTGTTTGTAAAGTATTCCCAGTAAACCAGGAAGATAAGAATATTGTGTGTCTTTGATTTGAAAGTTTAATAAATCCGTAGAATTATACACGTAAGTATCTCGGTATACTCATATGTTACTATTATAATCACATTATAAGTATCCTAATGGCAAAAGAAAAGTTCTTCACTATTTTCTGTGGTGAGGAGTAATATTTATTATTAAAACATTATTGAGGGTCATCATTTGATGAAGGGTCACTTTTCATTGGCTCCTGAATTCTTCCCAGATATTCTTGCTAAATGTTGACACTTGGGCCATAGGCTAATACCACGAGCTCTAGGAACCGATAACAGATCTTTCGATCCAAGAACTACTGCGGTGTGTCATTCGACTGCATTATGCTTGCATTTCGATGGGCATCTCAGTGCATCTAACTGGCTTTAATTTCCTTTCCATCCCCTCCTTTGTTTAGTAGTGATTGAAAAAACATCACCTCCTATACCTGTGGAAGTAGCTCCTGAAGCTTCTACCTCAAGTGCCAGCCAAGTTATTGCACCCACTCAAGTTACAGGTAGGTGTGGTACCTGTTACATTTTGCAGCCTGGGAAGGAGACGTGGCTATGAACTTCATTTTAAATATAGTATCAAAACTGTGTCAAATGTATAACATTGCTTATGGCAGGGTTAGTCATAACAAGAAGATTTGGAAAGAACCTAAATATTTTTTGAAGGAGGAATATGCTTAAGTAACTTGTGGTACAGATGCAGTGGTGCACCAAATAGCTATGAAAGTGATGTTTAAAAAGAATACTTAATGATATGAGGAGATGCCTAATGGCATAATATTAAGAAATACAGAACACAGTATAATGACTTTAATTTAGTTTTTAAAAGTTTACGGACAGAAAAAGAGACAGGAAGTGCATCAAAGTGTTCAACTATTGCCAGTTAACAGGATCATGGATAATCTTTATGTCCTTCAGTATATATTTTATATTTTTAAAAAATTCTTTATAATAAACATTATTCATCATTAGTGACGAAGTATGAGAATGCACAATAATTTGAAACAAATCAGCAGCCTAAAAAGTTCATATCCTTAATATAGAGAGAGATCTTATAAATGAGCAATAAAAAACCAATAGAAAAATGAAGAGGGTGCGTGTGGGACTTTAAGCACCAGGCTGGGAAGTCCAGGGGGCGTGAGTCTCTGGGTGGACAAACATCAGCCCTTCTCACTGGGGTGGCTGGGTGATGACAAGGAGCAGGTGGTTCAGTAGAACCGCGTTGTGCAATGTGATAACTTTCCTCATCTGTTAGTCAGTGGACCTGTAGGTGCTGATAAAAAGACGAGAATGTTGTGTGTTTACATAACCTTTATGGTGTTGGAGTAGAAAAATAGAAAATTGAAGGTCAGAGAGTTCTGGTCAAGATGGAGGCGTAAGTAACCACAGCTCACCTCCTCACACAACCACAGCAAGAATTACAACTAATCTACAAAACAACTATCACCCAGAATTGTCAGAAAATTGAGTTGTATGGAAGTTGGACAACAAAGGAATTAAAGAAGTCACATTCATCGAGATGGGTAGGAGGGGCAGAGACTTGGAGACATGGAATAAATAGGTGGTCCCCCATCCACATGTGATGGATGAAAATCTGGAGGGAGCGAAGGATCCCAGCCCCATAGAAGACCACCCAGTCCAGGGTTCCACTGCCAGGAAGATAAGTCCCCATAACTTCTGGCTGTACAAATCAGTGGTGGTTGGGATGTCAGAAGAAACTGCAAGTGTTCTCAAGCTTCTTCTCTTAAAGGGCCCACAGTGAACTTAGGACTTACACAAACTCACTCCCTCTGGGCTTCAGCACCAGGGCAGCAGCTGGAAGGGCACCAATGACATATGGGGAGAATCTGAAGTGTCTGGCATCAGGGCAAGTGTTGGGGGGCAGTTTCTCCCTGGACAAAACTCCAGAGTCCAGGCAGTGGCTATTGTCTCTTTTCTGAGCCCTTCCCAACACAGAGCCATAGAGTGGCAACACCATATCCTCAGATCAACCTGGTTCATCATACCCTCCATCAACCTGGTTCACATGGGTTGCCCTGCCTGGGCAATTACCTAAGGCTCCATCCCATCCAGCTTACTAGTGGGATTTTCTACTACAGTCCACGCTACTAAGACAGGAAGTCAAAGCAGTTCATCATCACCAAGTCATTATTACATGAAATGTTAAAGGGACTTATTTAAGAAAAAGAAGATAAAAACTATGAATATTAAAATGGCAACAAATTCACAACTATCAACAACTGAACCTAAAAAAACACACTAAGCAAACAAACAGAATGGAAACTAAATCATAGATATGGAGATCATTTGGAGGGTTATCATTTGGAAGGGGAAAGGGGAAGGATGAGGGAAAAGGTACAGGAATTAAGAAATGCAAATTGGTAGGTACCAGATAGACAGGGGGATGTCAAGAACAGTACAGGAAATGGAGTATCCAAACAATTTATATGCATGACCCATGGACTTACACTGAGGCGAAATATTGCTGGAGGAAATGGGGGTACGGGGTTGAGGGGACAAAGGGGGGAAAATTGAGAAAATTGTAATAGCATAATCAATAAAATATATTTAAAAAAAGAAAATGGAAGGTCAGACCATCACAACTCCATCTAAAAAGAAAACTGAAGTTAGTGCTATTGCAAGCACTTTCCACCTTGCAGCTCTCCGTGTGATGCTGGAAGTGGTGCTGGGGTGGTAATTCAGGAGATGTTGAAAATAGTGGCATAATCACAGCAACTTGAAACAAACTCTCAAAGAGACAGGAAAGTGGTGAGGTTGACAGAGGTTGACGAACGCACCAAAGGTGCCCAACATGCCTTGGGTAGAACCATGGGAAAGTGTGTGTGTCCCTGAAGATTGATCTTGTGCTGCAGTTCTACATGTAAAGTGACACCACCCTTTTGTAGTAGGTATCAGGCAGTTCACGTGCTCCCAGCATTTGCTGTGTGTGCAAGAAGGAAGGCCTGAATCTTCCTTCACAGCTGGCTCGTAGCCTTGCAGAGAACTGCTGCAGAAATCTCAGAAAAGCCCTGCTTATGTGTGAATCCCACAGAGCGCAACAATGTCCTTTCACCGCAGATTAAGAAGTCCTCGAAACAGACAGGGAGGTGTATCTGGGGAGACTGCCAATGCTATTGTTGGTCAGCAGGCTCCACGGAGGCTCCCTGAAGTTCCTGAGGACTCGGTGAGCTTTTGGCCCTTGGTGTTCCTCCTGAGATCATCGTAGAGGGCCTCTCTCAGAACTTTTCATAATTGTGAAAGACAGCTGAGCGGAGAAGTGGGCCAAATGCAGCTTACTGTGATCATCGCCTACAGCTGCGTAGTAAAGCTGTATTTATCACTTGGAAGCTTTTGTGGCCACATTCATGGCACTGGGTAAGAAGTCCATGGAGGATGGATTAGAAGGCATGAGGTCCTGACATCTAGCAATGATTCTTCCCAATATTTCTCAGTATCAGCATTGACATTCAGTTTATACTGGAAGAGCGGCAGGTAAAATAAACGAACTTTCCTTTAAAAAAAGAAAAATGAGGAATATAATCAATAATTCATAGAGAAAAACAATACCAAAAAACATATATAATAGGAAATTTCAATTTTACTAATAGTCAAAGAAATACAAATTAAAATAATTCTTTATTTTATTTTATTTTTTTTTTTACAATATGAACCAGAGAAATTATTTTTTGAGAGATGTAATGCATCTTTTTTGTTGTTGTTTTTCAGGTACAGTTTTCTGCCTTTTCTCCCCACCACCCCATTTATTTTATTAAATTAGTATTTAATTCTCACAGTGTGAAACTCTAAGGCTCTCACATTGCTGAAAGGAATGTAAACTGGTTCAGTTTTCCTGAAAAGCACAAACTGGCAGTGTGTAGCAAGGACTTTAAAAATGTGCAGAGCTTCTGACTCGGTAATCCAATATTAAGATATCTCAGGATATGTCAAGCATATCTCCTGGACATGAAGATATGTCAGGAAATAATATCCCCAATGGCATGGATAATGGTTTCTATAAATGGATACTTACTACAGCACCAGATATAATAGAGAAAAAGTAGAAATAACCTAAACATTTACCTCTAGTGAAATACTTATGTTATAGCTATACATTGGAACGTTAGGCTCTCATCAAATATGGTATTTTGAAGAAATGTGTTAAAATTTAGCAGGAAATGGTTACACAATATTGTTTTAAAAAGACATATATGTTGAGAAAGTGCTGGTAAAAATACATTAGATGTTAGCAGTGATTATTTTGTATAGTAGGATCCAGGAGGTTTGGGGGTGTTGTAGAATTTTTTTTTATATTCTACAGTGGGCAAGTATCCGTTTTATAGTCAGATTAAAAGGCCATTCTGATGCATTATCTCGACTCCAGTTCGGGATGAGATGGCATTGTGTAATAGGAGAAGCTAAAAGAGAAGTTTGCAGCCACCTCTAAAATGCTTTTTCTTCAAAAGCATTATATGCATCATTTTTCAGATAGAAATATGCCTGATAGATATGTTAACTATTTAGATTGTGGTGATTATTTCACCACAATACGTATATATGTAATTTTCATGTTAAAAACAAATATACAGTAGTATACATATATGCAATTATATGTAATTATCCAACTATATAAAATATAAACAATTTTATGTGTTTAAAGACATTGAAAACTTTTAGCCATTTTCTCAAAAATGTGGATATAAGCTCACTTACACATTTGAATGAGCAGATGGGAAGGTATTTTTTAAAAGCACCTTTGTTCCAAGGTGAAGAGTGCAGTCACAGTGTGGACTTAGCGGTTCGTTTCCACGTCATTTAGGGTCCCCTTTCAGGGGTGTCCACCCTTTGGCATTTCTGGGCCACACTGGAAGAAGAGTTGTCTTGGGCCACACATTAAACACAGAAACACTAACAAAAACTGACAAGTAAAAAAAAAAAAAATGGTTTTAAGTAAATGTACGGTTCTGTGTTGGGCCTCATCCATAGCCCTCGTGGGCCGCATGGGGCCCGCGGGCCGAGGGTGGACACCCCTGCGAGGCCCAGCTGCACCCAGAGCCAGGGCCTTCCCCGCAGATATTCGTGGCAAGTGCTCTTTGGTTTTGCTGTTAATTCTACGAAAGCAGTATAAAAATGTTCCCTTTGATAGGTGTTTCTGGTGATAGGATGAAATAATGGTTATTTTTTTTAATGACCATGGATGGCTAAAATAGTTGCTATCCATTCTGAAGTCACCTATGTATCTACCCACTTCATTAAACGCCTCTAAAAGATACGTGACTGTTGTGCCCGGAAATGCATCTGAACATGTAACAAGCTATTTTGGTCAGCAAGGGTCTTCTCGTTGTTAACCTCAGGGTTAAAAAGAAAAATTGCAGTGTGACAATGCAATTCACTATATATAATGTATTTCTATTTCCCAGTGTCAAAATATACTTCAATTTGTGCCTTTTTAACAATGGCTGACTTTTCAATGGACGGACCTTTTGCGAACTAGCTTTGTGGAGGTTCA